ACCATCTCAGAACCTCCACCACAGACCTCCAAATCTCATATCTCGCCCCAATTTTAGCTCGGTCACTGAGGTCAACCTCTGCCCCATGTTTGGTCAACAATGGAGCCAATTTGATTCTGTCTGAAACAACTACTTTAATGACAAAAAATTAATATTCTATCTGCATTTGAACAGAAGTTATCTCCATTTGAAAATAAAAGGGTTACTTTACAATCACCTGTAGAATGGAGAATTGCCCTGCAAGATCCTGGGAATAGCATGAAAATATACCAAACCAACTTGATTCTGAGCCCATCTATAATGAAGGAAAAGCCTCCTCTACGGATGGGATGAGCAGGGGTGAGCATTCCCCCTCAAGGAATTCTTGTTCAGACAGGGGAGGGAGGAAGAAGAAACCAGACAGTGAACCCAATGTCCTCCTACCGCATGGAAAGAAAGAACGACTTTATTCAGAATTAACTCGCTTCGTTGACCATTTTCCGGCGATTGTGAGTGAGATCTCTCAGGCCACGAGTGGCCTGAGAGGTCTCACTTGAGGAATCTTTGGACACTTTCTCGATGAAATGAGTGCCATGGCCAGAGAACGAAGCTGTCGTCATCATGGACAGCTGTATGGCTCACCGAAGGTTAATTCCCCGATACCCGTCCCATGTCATCAAATTCCTTCCACCATACAGTCCCTATTTGAACCCCATTGAATTCACGTTCTCTCGATTCAAAGCTGAGGTCACGAGACAACTGGGTTCTCTGTTAGCTTCCATTGTAGATCGAAAACGAGTTGCTGCTCAGGTGTGTCTCTGGCACAACATCGCAGAAACATTCTTGAGAGAAATTGTGGTTGACGCAATTGAGAGAATGTATACCGTTAATTTATGCCGCAGAGCATATTAGCATTCCTTCGATTCCATTGGCAGGTCATTGGAGAGAAAAGTCATTTCTGAATAAAGTTCTTTTTTATGTTGGGGAAGATAAGTGACTCTTCACTGTCTGGCTTGTCTCTCCTTCTTCCCCTGTCTAGACATGAATTCATTGAGGGGGAATGCTCACCCCTGTTCTTCCCATCCGTAAAGGAGGCTTTCTCTTCCTTACACATGGGCTCAGAATCAAGTCGGTTTGGTATATTCAGGTGAAGCCACTACGGCATTATCAACGGATTCGAGAATCGATCATATCTTCTGGACTCAACCTTCATCCTGCCTAACTTATCTCTTAGAAAGGGTTTTAAAAAAGCCATTTAATTCAAAAGAAGGTGAACGTCGCACCGTGAATAGGCAAAATTAAAGTAAGCGAAGATGAGGAAAATTCCTTACCATGCCTGGCTTACTAATATTCATTATGTAAAAGTTTGTCTTTTGTCTTAGTTTAAAGTAGGGCTGTTCCGATTTTCGCGATATCGTTCGATGTTATCGATGTTCGATGTCTTATCGGAGATGTGTCTGCATATCGCGATATTTTAGTTTTGGAAATTTTTTTTTTCTCTATTGTCGCGGGAGAATGGGAAACAGAGCACACAAACAATAACGGCATTAATTAACCATTAACAATAACGACATAGGACGATGCGAGGATAGACTGTCGGCCTCGACGAAAAAACCGATGAGATGAAGGAGGGAGTTGGTGGATAATAATTAGTGGATAATCTGAGGACTGCAATCCTCCCCGATGATTTCTTTTCCCAGAAAATTTCCCTTAGGCGAAATGTTGGAAATCAGCGCTCGGATTCAGTCAGCCCCAGAGTATGACGAAATTTTCGTTGATGGAAAAAGGAACTGGCAACTCAAAACCTCGTGAAAAGTCTGTAATGTGGAATGCGTTTAGAAATTTATTTCACGCGACGAATGCAATGCCCATCCGGAACGTGAAAAAAAGTAGCCGCACTGGAATGAAGAGAAATTCCAGTTTCCCCCGGGGAACACGACCGATCTCTCGCGACCTCGATTTGATCGCGGCGATAATCGAGTCTCGCCGCGGAAAGGCCACTCCATCATTCTTTGCAGCTTCTTCCGTCTGGGACGAAGTGAAAGCCCAGTTCCGAGGAAAAATCGGTTGCCAAGCTTTAAATGCTTCACGTAAAAAAATAAAAAACGGAACGCCTTGAAAACCACTCACGGGCTCATGAAATTTTCACGGTTGCATTTCGAATCTGACAATCCACCGTCGAGTCCATCACGGCCCGCAACAAGAAGTCAAGCGAGGAAATTATCGCTTTCCTGCAGAAACAGAGCCGCAGGACGGAATCAACGCCATTAATTTCGCTCGATCTTGCATCAAGACAGCGGCGAAATGGAGATCGATGGCCCGGCTGAGCCGTACTTGCCGACCTGGCTCGCAGATAAAATTTACCTGCGAATTCGTGGAACTTTTCGTCCCATGTGAGCGACTCTTTCTGAGACAACGGATTTCTCGCAAGCGAACATCGTGCATGCTCTGCGACAGAGATCGTCGATGTGTTCTCGTTTGAACAGCGAACTACCGTGATGTCATGCGTTCAAGATCATGTCTTGAATCGTTGCCAAAAAAAAAAAGAGGTTTCGTCCTGAAATAAATGCGCCATTATTACAAACCCCCCCCGATTGAAACCTGGCGATATCGCGATATTGGGCGATATATAGGTCGGCGATATCGATACTTTAAAAATCCATATCGCCCAGCCCTAGTTTAAAGTCGTTTGTAAAAGCCGAAACAAGCACTTGAAAGGACTTGCTAGTGTGAAGAAGTCGTGTGTACATGTGACAAACCTCTTGACGATTCTTTGTAGCCTAGGAATTTCTTGAAAGAACATGCCTCTCGTACCTGGATTCTGAGGGAGTCAACAATCCATAAAAACCAAAAAATAAGTTACTTTTCGGGAAAGGACAAAAACATGTACTTTAATGCATAAAAAACACCGGAAATAGAACTTCTAACTCAACACGTGACCCGCCGGTAGTCCAAGTGTGTTCCCCGAAATTGCAAGGGCGTAAGTCAATGAAGTTACAGGCAAGAACGAGAGGATAAGTACCAATCCTTGGCATTCATTTTTCAATGTGATCCTTTTATTTTATTTTTCCGTATGTACTTTCAAAATTATTCCCAACCATGGTCGAAACACTCAACACCAGGTCCCGCAGTGCGCAGGGTCTCGGAAGCTCCTCCCTCACTTCCTCGCTCCATGACGTCACGTGGGCAGAAAGGCGTGGTCCATCCGATGTCGTTGTTCCTCCTGAGTAATTAATATCTCACGTCTCTACCGTCCTTCTCCCATTTCACTTCTGTTGAAAATATACGCATCCAAGCAAACGCTCGTGGTCTCTTTCATTAGGATGTTTCAGTCTCACGTCTCGGTCAATATGCCAGGTTTACGGTTTTAAAAATACTTCACTGCTTCAAATACTACTACCTTTGCTCGGAAGACCAAAGGCTTCGTTGATGACAGTAGAAAACTCATTCGCTACCATCGTTTCCCGAAGAATGCCGAAGCAAGGCGCCGCGGGATTAATGCTTGCGGAGGAAGATCATTTCGATCCAGAAAAGTCACAAATTTGCTCTATCCTTCAGGTAGAACCTCATGCATACCATGTTATAGTATTCTCCGGATAATGCTATGAAACTGCGATCAGATTCTGTTCCTCTTCATCTGTCACATTGGCTCAGCAGAGAGATACCGGCGTCATGAAGTAAGATACAGGAAAAGACTATGCACGAATTCCTCCAACCTAGCTCAGGAGGTTGAGCGACCAGAAAGTCACACCAAGAAGGAGTTGAGCGGTGTTGATGAAATTTGGTAAACATACTCGTATTAGTGTGTCATGAAATTTATGCTAGTTTCAAGGTCGTAGGTTGAGTATTCGCAGAGAAAACTTGCCAAACATCCCAATTTAAATGGGGTCGTACTTATCGCCACAACGAACATCTAGAAGGAGTTTATTAATGAAATGCGATAAAGGAACTTCTACTGATTTTTAGTACAATGAAGCAAAGTTTCAAGGTCATAGGATGAAGCGAGGCAAGGAAATCTTGCCGAGCTAGCCGAACGCCCAAAGGACGGGGAATAGGGCGACTGCACTAATCAGGCCAGTTTCCTTTTCTGCTTTCTTCCATTCACTCCGCTTTGCTTCAATCGTTTTTCTTTCGTCTTTAAAGCCATGCAAGGATGACGTTCACAAAGGCAGTTTCGCCAACTTGACCAGTTCCATCGAGGTCGGTTAGTTGGCATGGTGGCTAGGGACGGGCCAAAGGACTTCTTTGAGGACTGTGTGCCGGCACGCAATCCAGTTGGCACTGCGGTCTTGACCACCTGTCTGACTTCCCGTCCCAAGCCACCAGTACCTTCCGTGAACACGGGTAGAAGCGAATCGGTCTCGTAGAATCTGCATCGTCGAATACCGGTCATCCCCGGGCGTCATGATGCGAGGGCGGCCTGATCCTCGTTGCCGTTCATGGTTGGCCCCATTTTGATACCGAGTCCACCAACGCCCCACGGTAGTCACACTTACACTTTGCCGATGCGCAACCTGATTCATGCTAAGGCCTGCCTCCATCATGCCAACCAACTGGCCTCGATCGAACTGATCAAGGTGACAAAACTGCCTTTGTGGACGTCGCCCTGGCATGGCTTTAAAGGCGAAAGAAAAACGATTGAAGCAAAGCGGAGTGAATGGAGGAAAGCAGAAAAGGAAACTGGCCTGATTAGTGTAGTCTCCCTATTCCCCATCCTTTGGGCGTTCGGCTAGCTCGGCAAGTTTTCCTTGCCTCGCTTCATCCTATGACCTTGAAACTTTGCTTCATTGTATTAAAAATCAGTAGAAGTTCCTTTATCGCATTTCATTAATAAGCTCCTAGATGTTCGTTGTGGCGATAAGTACGACCCCATTTAAATTGGGATGTTTGGCAAGTTTTCTCTGCGAATGTTCAACCTACGACCTTGAAACTAGCATCAATTTCCTGACACACCAATACGAGTATGTTTACCAAATTTCATCAAGATCGCTCAACTCCTTGGTGTGACTTTTTTTTTGGCTATGAGTATACTATCAGCAATGAGAACGAAAGTGTCAAAACAGTCATGAAGATGCTTGCAGCAAGGAAACTTTCTCAGGAAGGGAACCTGGGACCACAATAAAGTTATGAATTTTGCTCACTGTAGCCCAGTAGGAGCATCTGTAAGTTAGTGGTAACATGCCAGGAAATTATCAGCAATTGACTGCCAATTTACCTGTAAGTAAGGGCCCTCTCCACTACTGATTATTTTACAACTCTAATCAGTCACCTGACCACCCATCTTTTGGGTTCTCATTTAGACTGGCCTAGGAGCATCTACCTATGCTTCTGTTCCTGGGCAATAGACCTGAAGCTCTACAGTGTGCAATGCTGAGCCTTTTATATCAAAGCTTGGCATTATAGTCACTCCTCCTTGTGCAAGGTCTGCTGATTTGTCTTCTGCTGGTTATTCTCAACTGAGAAACTCTTTTTGAAATGCTCTGATGGAGCTTGTGGCAGACGTTCCCACGCCACAGGACTTCTCTTGTTCTGGAGAAGTGGCTACTTGACCTGAAGGTCCTTGCAGAAGGAAGCACTCCACATTCAATAATTATATATGATACCAACCACCTGATGTGAGAGCCTCTATTCAGTGATTTGTTTTGACAATCTGATTCTTTCCATCAATACTCATTGTTGAAGGCTATTGTTGAGATTGGGGAGGTAATTAGGGGTTTTGCCTCTGTACATTTTTGATTTGGCAATCCTGGTCTGCCAGAGTTTCCATAATACCGGAGAAGCCCTGTAGATATGATTTTTAATCTCATTTTCATGTGCCCATCATTCAAGAACTAGAGCCTGAAATATTTAACCCCTTCTGGTCCACTGTTGGGGGAGCCCTGACATTTGATTTTTCTCTGGTGGATCCTGTGTCAGATCTCCCTGACATGAAGTGGTGTTAGTGCAGTCCTGTGCTGAGTGAGACGCAGGATCCACCAGAGAAAAATTGAATATTGGGACCTACCTGATGTGTAGGACTCACTGTAAAAGATTTATTGATGAAACTAATAGGTTAATTTCATGTAATGAGTTATAATTTCATATTAATCATAAAAACTTCCTCCATGGTGAGACTATGAACTTCCTTTTGGAAGGTTTCCAGTCAGGTATATCAATGTCTGCAGTTGACAGGTTGAAGTGCTTATTAAATTGTTTTCCTCTTTTAACACGTTGGCGACAATGCGTCCTGATGCCAGGATGCAGATTTTTTTTCAATGAATACCCTCTGGAACTGTTGAGAACGTTCCAGAAGATTATGATTTCGTAATTACTAATAAAAATTCCAAAAAATTCAACATTTTAAAAAAACTCGGCAAAAAAAATGTTTTCTGGGACCATGCGTCCTGATGGCAGGACGCATTTTTTGACAAAAAAATGCACGTGGTCCCACGCGGCGGACAAGCAAAAATAGGCTGGTCGTCAACGTGTTAAATCATTTCTGGCTTGACAGCCTGCACTTACCTGTCTTTAGTCTTTAACTCTGTGAATTAGTTAAATCAGTTTCTGAAGTTTTTCCCAATGGCAGTCATATCAGAAGCTGAGTGTTTAAAAAAGTAGCAGTTAGACTTTGAAACCCACAGAGTACATTGCATGCCTTGTTTCAGCCTTCAGATGGTTTGGCAGAACAAATTGTTTCAGTGAAGTTGCAAAATTCCATCTGCCTACTGAATTCTTCCAGGCCGATTTTGCTTCAGCCCGGTTTTAAATCCCAACTGGAATCATCCAGCTGGGCCAAAGCTAGCTGTAAATTCAGACCATTTCCATATAGCTAAGAGCTGAAAATTGGGAGATACAGGTTGCTTTACATCTGAAATTTCCCAACTGGAATGCAACTGATTTTAATAGCTGTTTTCTGTTGGAAATTTCAAGTTAGAAATTTATGTACAGAAGACCCTCCAGCTGGAATACAGCTGAATTTAAAGTTGAAATTCAGCTGCTCCTGTAAATGGACCTCCAACAAGAATAGCCAATAAAAAAATTTTCATCCACCAGTGGTATACAACTAGGAACCATTCTGGATCCGACTACTTTCCAGCTGCTACTCAGTTGGAATGGATCAAAAGGTCTTACCTACTGGGCATGTTCACCCCATAGGCTGCCTTCTTAGCAGCAACAGCCTGATGTTGGTATCCTCATTTCTACCAGAATTGTGTCTGGTTGGTGTATTGGGTGCCAAGTGTGCCACCTCAAAATGCTCTTGTACTGCCTGTTGCTGCAGCCAAATCCAGATCAAAGAGTTTCCATTCTGTCCCCTCATCAAAAGACTGATATTCATTTTATTTTTCATACGGTTGTAATGACACTGTGAATAAGAGTGATCTGGCAGTTTTATGCACATGTAAATTTCATGATTCTCAGGATATGGAGAGGTAAAAAGTCTTGCTAGAATATAGTGGAGCTTGGAATGAGATGGAACATAATATAAATGCAAAATCATTGTCTCTCTTGCAGGAATGGACAGATAGAGCTCTACATGACTCCACTGTCATGGATCTGGCTTCATCCAAAGGGAGGAAATCCCTGTCAAAGATATACGATAGCGTATATGAGTCTTACTCTGGGAGATCAGAAGCAACTGACAGCATCCTTGGGGAGTTGTTCCCTAATAAGGATGACCATGACCATGACCATGATCATGATGAGATGAGATTCCCTTCCATTGGGGTAGGGGGGGAGTTGGGAACAGTACCAGGGGGGTTTGAAGGGGATCCTGGTCGTGGTCATACTTCTTCCAACTCCTCCTCCTCTTCCTGTCCTATTATTCCGGATCATCATGCAGCTCTTCGATCGACTGCTGGCAATTTTAACATTCTCTCCCACATTCTCATCCCGGGAAATGGAGTTCCAGACACTGTTCTCCGACCTGACTCATATGCCAAACAGGTTAGTCCTATTTTGTAGGTAATCTTAGTCTTCATTATACCTTTGCTTCTGTGATTATTTGATGTTTTGGGTGTTCCAATATACTGGGTGTCCCAAAAAAAAAACATGTCCCGTTTGGTGCTTTATAAAACTTGTTGTGGATGATCTAGGATTGTAATGTTTTCATGTCAAATTGGAAACACCCCAAAATTTGTTTTCAGAAAGTTTCATGTACCTAGGTTGTGAGAATAAAATTCAACAATTGTTCGAAGTGGAGTCATTAAATGCACCTTTTCTGCACATGAAGCAGATGGAGTTTCAGCACTGCTTGAAGGATATCTCTCACTTGACACTATAAAGGCTGCTTTTTCTACTATGTCCTCATTGTAGTATTCTACACATCATAGAATGATGTGTAGAATACTACAATATAGCAATGTAACTCAACATATGACAGTATGTTGTAGCATCAGAATCAATACAATGCAGAATACTACAATGAGAACTGGCATAAAAAGCAGCAATTATGGCTTCAAGGGAGAGAAGCAGTCCTGAAACCCCATCTGCCTCATGTGCGGAAAAGGTACATTTTATGACTCCACTTTGAAGGCCTGTTGATTTTTATTCTGACAACATAGGTACATGAAACTTTTCTTAACAAATTTCAGGGTGTTTCCAATTTTACATGAACACATTACTACAAACCTAGATCATCCAAAACAGGTTTTATAAAGCATCAAACAGGATGTGTTTTTTTTTTGGGCCATATGTAAAATTGATGCTCAGTTTGAGCTCCTTAGAATGGGCCAATTGAGCTGAAAATTGGCATATGCAAAGATGAACAATACAAAGTTTTATGTATCATATTTTGCTTTGCAAAAATCCAGTAAACAAAAGAAAGCAATTAGTGTGGTGGAAAACAAAATTAATTGTTGACCAATGCAATTTGTTCAACAATGAGGTTAAAGCTGATAAGCTTTAACATGTCACCCACATATGGTTACACACTCATGCAATCATATTTTGATGGCAAAAACCCTCCTGAACATGTTTGGAAATGTTCAAATGTTCTGGCAGGCTATGACATTTACTTGCTGCATGGCATCCAAATTATGGAAAGGGGTGACTTTAAAAGCAGTATTCTTCAGGTGTCTTCCAAAAAAAAAATCAGTGGGTGTTAAGTCTGGTGACTGCAGGGCCAAATCTAGCAGTCCCAATCCCACAGTCCTGTTCCCAAATGCTCTGCAGATCACAGGTTGCACCACTTGTGCTTGATGAGGGCATTGCACCATACTGCTGTCACCATGTCCCTCAGATCTCATTTCCTAAAGTTTTTTGATTGTTTGTCAGGAAAAACTTAATTACTAAATATGTCTGAGTTTCTTGTTCTCACTAATATGACAAGGGATGACCCTAGAATGCATTAATTTAGTCACACTAAACTTTTGAATGCTTTTATCAAACATCTCACATCTCATCTTGCTGAACCTAAAAAAGTTCCATCGTTTGAAAAATATTTCCAAAGTAAAACACATATTACCATTGTTGAACTAAACTAAATAGCATGAAAGTTTGAACAAAAAAAATTGTTTTACCTATGTGTATTTCAATCTTGCCAATATGCCATTGCTTAATAAGTCCATTCTAAGAGGCTCACTATGAGCATCAGTATAACACATATTTTGGAACACCTAGTATCTTCACTTATAAAGCAGCAGTATTATATTGTACATGATTTGCTGCATCCAATTCACTCTGAGAACAGTGGTTGAGGCAACACAGACAAGAAACTGACTCAAGTTCTTTGAGGGACTACCACTATTTGTCTCACTCAAAGAATATTTCATATCAATCCTTCTGCAGAATCCTGCAGACTGGTTTGTTGGTGTGGTAAAAGCCTGCACCCATTTGTAAAAGATTCTCTAGTCTCAAATGAAAAGTCATCACTACTGATGCTGAAGGGAAAATAGCCAAAAATAGAGATTTTTTCTCCTGCTTTGCCAGTAATTCCCTTTTGAAGGGAGTCAAGGAGTTTCAGGACCTCATCCAAATCATGTCATCTTGATGAGTTTTGCTGCTCTGGATGGGTGTTCCTGAAGATGTATTGGAAGTTGAATCATTATCTCTCCAGATACCACTTGGTATGAAACCCCATCATTGTCACTTTTTCTCCTAGAGGGGAGTGAATTTCTGCAAATGTATTTGTTTTTTAAAAAAAATCAATATGGAAAGCTCTTCCAGAATTTTTTGACTGATGTCAATCAGATGCTCCCTATGTTATATTCATTTCAATCCTATCTTGAGCAAAAGGGTAAATTTTGATCTCATAGTTGTTGAAAAGATATCATCAGTTGTATTGGTGCATCATTCAAGAGTCCATCAGAGTATTGCCAAGGCTGAATGTGCGTCACAGGATGACAGAGTTTGGTTGCATACCATGTTGCCAGACCTTTCCTATAATATCCTTGTTCATTCAACTTGGTTCACAGGCAGGTTTTCATCTGTAGCAACGCACTTCTTAACCCTTATCCAGTTTCCCTAAGTAAAGGTCAACATTAAAGTCAGAAGACATAATGGCATAAATCTATTTAATGGGACATTGTAAGAGCTTCATACTTGTAACAGGCATGGCTGAAAAGTACAAGTAAGATGGTATCCAGGTTTCAACAGTATTAGTCTCAAGAAAAAGGAACAATATCAGGGGGAGTGCAGGAATTTGTCAGAACTATACCAGCGTTCTCTGATGCTTAATTCCTGTACATGATTAAGTTTAGAAAAAAAGAGCCATGCACTGCTCCAAATCTGTTGCATGTGGTCTCTTATAAAAATGCCAAATTGTACTATTAGTAGTGGTTCATAAAGATTATGAAAGTTTATATTGTCCTTCAAGGCTGGTGTCTGCCTTGCTTTTGCCTTCTGCAGTGCATTTATTCACCACATGGATTGCTCAGAACATAGGATGGCTTGGCAGAGGCCTGGGACAATTAACAATGCTTCATATACTTTTATTAGTCTTTCTCAATGTAAGGATTCTGACAGGAAGCAATCATGATCATCCTTTATTGTTAACATAAGCAAGATTGAAAGCTTTCATTTTGCTATACAGAATATGAAGTGCCTTTTTTTTTACTGTAAAAATAAGCTTGAGAGAATTTAGCTAATATTGGGTGAGAAAAAAAAACACACCACAATTTGAAATATTTCAGTGCCTATGGAACAGCAGCTAGAACAACAAAGATTCTTTCATACCCACCTCTAGGCATCCTTTAAGCATCTGCAAGTGTTGGGCTCTTATCTTGAGCTGTTTTAGCACACAAGTGATTTTACAAAAGCAACTTGAATTTTATTTTTGTGCTCGCACCTGGATGCTGACGGGAGGACCTGCCCCTCAGTGCTCTCACTAGGAATGACAGTTATTTTCAAGGGTTTTCTCCTCTGCACTTCAGAATCCACTAAGCATATCGCTGTTTCTTCCTTCTGGAAATTTAGAGATAGGGATTTTGCATCCCAGGATAATCATCTTGAGAGACAATGACCTCTTCCACAAGAACGCAATTTCCTTCAGTTCTGGCTAGTTTCAGTCTTCTCCTCTTTCTCTTCCTCTCAGATGAACTGGTTTCTTACAGCTTGTGAATCTATCTCTTAATAATAGATCTACTTTCCTTTCTTTCTTTACCAGAAAATTCCTGCAAAATTCTGCCCACCCCACCCTTTTCCTAAGAGTAGCATTTTTATGATCAGATGGAGGAGCTCTGGCCCGAGATAGGTGCGCTCTTTGTGTACAACTTCTCTTCCATCTATTCGTTTCCTCGAGCAAAAAATAAATATTCTAATTTTGTAATTTGTATTTGTGTTTTTGCTCCAGTGCCAAAATGGCAGGAGAAAAATTAATAAGAGTTTTAGGACTTTTATAGAATGTGTAGTTATTGTTGGAAAGCATTTTTTGATGTGCTATATGCTAACTCATGAACTTCAAAGAATCTCACAGAGCAGCACATTATTTTTGCCTCACCCAGTATATAGTTTTTTTCACTTATTAAATGAGCTTTTATGCTTTTTCCCTTGCACAAACTCCTCTTGCTCAGAATCAATCTTTGGCTACCTTCCCTAAACTAAAGTGTCTTTATAGTATATCGCACCAAGGCATCTTTGAACAGTTTTCTATACTTTCAGGTATGAAGGCCTTATCCTTTACATTGATTAGGTCAACAGATGACTGGCAGTCAGGTTCATTCTTGTAAAAGTATTTGCATGATGCCTTTGGATGAATACTTGAATGAGAACAATGAAAGATGAAGCATTTGCTATTTGATAAGGAAAACCCATGGCATTGCAGTACAAAGACTTGTCACCTGACAGCATGTTGGAACATGCATTTTTGTTCTATATTTTCTAAACACATTTCCCATTCGATACTTGTAGTCAATTCTCGATAGTTTGCTGATCAATTGTGAAGCAAATTCATTAGATGTCAAAGCATTCTTTGCTTTCAAAAATGCTAATTTTTGCAGATTTAACCACAGCCACACCACCAAAATTCATTCTGCAATGGGTTAAACAGTAAGGTGATCCTTGTGCAATAATGTGATTCAATAGGTAATATATGAGTATTTCAATCAGTAGGGTAGTTCAGTGAGTTAAGTATATTCTGTAGTTACATAGGCATGAAAAGACTTGCTTGTAATGAAGAAATCTAAATTTTAAAAAGCTTTGTTCTGACATGAATTGCAGACAAGGCGTGACACATCATTAGAGAGCCTTGGGAATGATGCCCTGTGCCAGGATCTGCTTCTGCTTCATGACAATGACATTGGTGGAGATATGGCAGCAGATGCCTCCATTGCATCCTACAGAAGAAACCCCAGTTCTCTCAAAGAGGTTACATTGGATCTTAGTGGGAATCATCTGATCTTGATAGATGCTGGCTTTCCTACTGCTTCTGGGAACCAACAATCTCTTTTGGTAGAAGAACCTGGGTCTGTTTCTGCAATGGGAAAACCAGAAGTTGAAGCACCAACAGAACATGACTATGTTCGAGTCCTTCCAACAGGAGTTTCTTCTGGAGAAAGACAACTGATGATAACTCGTAATGTTGTCTTGTCTTTGTCTAAAAATTCCACTCTTTCCCGAGTGGGACTGGAGGTGTCACAACAGCCTGAAATTTTGACTCTCCCTGAGAGACAGACAGCCAGTATTCCAAAAAAACGAAAATTGCCTGAGGAAGTGCAGGAGGCGATAGCAAAGAAGGACTTTCATTCTCAAAGGGAGGTCATCAGTGAGCCTACAGAAATGGATTTGGACAAACGGATGAGGAGCAAAGAACCTCTTGATGTTCCAAAAAAGAGGCTTCGTAATGAAGCTCTCACTTCCATTAAGAATGATGATATTAGTCTTCTCTTTGATGGGCCTTCTGCTCAACAGTCTACAAGTCAAGAAGGTGGTGGAGATCTTGATGAAAACTTTGTTGATATGGAGGATGCAGATCAAGACATCCTGGATCTACCTCATAAGAAGCGCATGCAGAAGTCCTTGCCAGATTCTTCTGGGGACTCTGAGGAAGAAGGAAGTGAGACCCAAGAAGGGGACAATTATGAAAAGCAAGAGCGTCGAGATCTCCCACATAAGAAACGAATTCCAAGAAAACTGAAACAGCCGCATCACAAGTCCAAACTACATGTGAAGTGGTACAAGTGCCACCAATGTTCAGAAACATTTGCTTCTCAGCAGGGACTTGCCCAACATAGGCTGAGCCATTCAAGTTCATCATCTCACATCTTCATCTGTGAGCTTTGCCATCAGAGTTTTAATGAGCAGATGGACTTCTTTAATCATCTGAAACTGCATTATGAACCTAAACCCACTCTCAAGTGTTATGAATGTGGGGCCACATTCTCATGCCAGGAGGAATTAGATCATCATACTAGCACTCATGCAGAGTTCATCTATGAATGCAAACTTTGCAGTCGAAAATTTGCTAGAAAGATGTCTTTCCTTGCTCATAGCAGCAGATTGCATCCAACTGCTCGCCATGAGTGTCATACATGTAAAAGGTGAGTGATGAGGACATAGTGGTTTAAGGTGCTTCTGTTTGTAAATTGCAAGTACATGTCTGCTTGACCTTGTGATGAAGTATTTCATAAACCGTTTATACTTAAGTGAATCAGAAATGCTCAGCAGTGATGGCATATATATGTTGAGGAAAAAAAAACTCCCAAACATGGTGCTTCAATCTGTTATTCACAGGAGGAGAGATGTAAATTCATAAATGGAAAATGGATTTGAACACACAAACCAACTAAGTTAGCAGGAAAAAATCACAGATGAGGTCTTTATCATTTTGAAATTCAGCTGCTTAACATATTGGTTCTGTCAAAAAATGGCACCAGACAAAAATAACTACCAGCTACCAGCAGGAGCAAATGTTGTCCTAGAATGTCTATCTAACTTCTTTTAAATAGATGCTAATAATATTGCTTTGGCGCAACAAGTTAGGATGAAACTTGGAGAATCAGTTGAAAGTATACTCATATATGGATAGTGAAAGTTTCATGAACAAAATTCCAATGTGAGGAAAGATTTTCAGGTTAAAAGTCTCTTCTTTTTTTTCCTGCCATACCCTGTAGATGTGCACCTCTGAATGAATTCCTGTCAAAAGTATGTGCAAATAATTGGTACATAAAATTTATTGTTAATCTTTGCCTATTACACATCACATGCCAACAAAAGAATATTGCAGGCATCAGAAGCACTCTTGTGTGTGAGCCTCTACATAAAATTGAGATTCCCAACAAAATAAAGTGTACTTTTGTTGCTATTATCTCCATTTACTATTATTTTTATTTTATTTTTTGAGATCAAGAGTGATCAGGAGAACCCAACTGGGAAGTGAGAAGGGTGAAGTCTTTTAACAGTATTAATCAGAGAAACCTAGAATCAAAAGCTGTAAAAGGCCATAGAATCTGGCAGGAACCAGGACATTCTGCATGTGCAATGGTAGTGCTAGGTTTTTTTTTCATATGTAATGTTCATGTCCATATTGCCTACCCATAACATTCACTTGCATATTGTCTACCAGGCCTCAGTGCCCACCCAACCAGTGGAAGAAGAAGACACCAATAAAAAATGTGCATAGAAAAATGCAAGAAATCAAGAAATTGAACAAAGCTGATTTAAATAAGAATAGGGTAAAGGCACCAGTTTGTGGATGGGTTAAGGAAATATTCCTCTTCAAAATTGCATTTTGCATTATGGTCATTGGGGTAAGCAAGAAACCACTTGATTGGTTTCAATGGGAGGCCACTTATAGTTTGATGCCCATACCCTAAAATAAAATTGAAAAAATATGCTTTTCTAAGAAAAGCTGTTTAAACGGATATTTGTCAATTTTCACATGGTTCCTATTTGTGGACAGCCTGGTTCCAGTTTGTGGACATCCATGGACCTTGTTTGTGGACACCAGTTTTTGTCAACAATTATGAACATGCGTAGGCTGAATAGAAAAGTATGGGCATGAGATATGTACAGCAGTTTTATTCATCTTCGATGATGTCCTGCTAAGATATATCATTGGGAAAATTATGGAATTCAGGGGTGCTAGGTCTAAAACTAAAAAAAAATGTCCAGGTTCACTCATGCTGATGGGTATGCATAATTTATATGGTGGGTGACAGGCATGTGCAAAAATATGGAGCATTTGAGGAAATAAATTTTCTGTGTGAATTTTGTGAAATGGCAAAAAATGCAAAACTGTCCACAAATAGGTGCCCATCCACAAATTGGTGCCTCTACCCTATATCTTATTTTTTTTTAAAGAAAAAGAAGATGAATTTGGCAAACCCTGTACCAGTTCCTCAGTGCCATGTTTCTGTTTTTTTCCAAGCCCTACAAAGCCACAATTTAAATGATGAATAAACAAAGAAAGCATTTTAGTGAATTTGATGTATTTGGTTATTGGAACATAGCTAATAGCATATTTCTCTTGTAGCATTTTGAAGTTTGAAATTTTCATTTTCCTTAGGGTATTCAAAACAGAGTCTGGACTGGCAACACACACAGGGCTCCATCATGGTGGTGAACAGAGGAACAGGAATGCTATGGGGATCGGAGGATTGGATGATTTTGTCTGCCTTCACTGTGGGAAGCAGCTGAAAAACCAACTTCAGCTGAGGAATCACATTGCAAAAGTGCATCCAAATGCTGATGAAGATGATGGTAACAAATGCTTGCATGCATCCACTCACCCAGCATCTTCATTTAGTTTCTCAGTGCAGGCATCTACCTTGTCTGGGGCTCTGAGAGATGGGCAAGAAGACCAAATCTCCCAGGTCAGTGCTAATAATTTCTTCTAAAACTCCCCCAATACAATTCCTCTTCCCAAAAAAAGGTAGCTCTTTTGTTTTATAAGTAGTCAAGCTTCCTGACTGAAGCCAGACATTCAGATGAAAGTAAGATGTCATCACTGAATTTTCATAATGATTCTTGACAGTCATTACTAATATGAATACCTCAAATTCCATTGGTGGCAATGTGGGGGAACTTAATTGAATCTGGCTATTTTAGACCCTTTTAAATTGAAGACACCCCAAAATCCCCAAACTTTTTCAGAGCTCAGTCCTTAAGAATGCCCTGAGCTTCCAATGGAAAAAAGTCTCACTCTTGGAAGATAAGTTCTTTTTCAGAATACCAAGCATAAAATTGTGACATTTCCTAACATTAACCTTTGCACTGCTGTGTTGGGACTGCCATGATATTATATTTTTGTGACATGTGTGACATTGGGGGTAGGGGGTTGCTGTTCATGACATAGGAACTTCACTGACTTTCCAGTCTGGCAATTTAGCTAAATGCATTTTGTTAACCATTACTGTGGTAGAGTATCTTCACAATGAAAATTAGACTTTGAGAACTGGTGAAGTAATACCCAGGAATTCATATTTAACCCGACTATTAGAATTAAGAGTAAATGTTTTATTTTGAAAGGTTTAAGAATTACATGTGACTTGGTTGGTTAAGTAAAAGAAAAGGAGACTGTGAAGCACTAGTGTTCTGTAGGGGGCAGCAAGAGATGTTCTCAGTTCATTCTGATTTCTTGTGGTGAACATGGAGAGGGGGAATCCCCATCTCAATGAGCAATGTATGGAGAAGGATTGAGGTTCTTTCAGGTTCTTAAAGATGAATTTTAAACATAATTCATTTCATTAGTATGATAGTAGTAGTAACATGCTTGGCAGATTTAAGTCAAGTAATTAAAAACCTGATTTAAATCACCTTACCCATATTTAGGTTCTTGGACATTATTTTTCAAATTGTGTTATAAGTGGTGGTTATTATCCTTATTGATATATTTTTTAAATTCAGATGCCCTAGATATATGACAATTTAGACATTGCACTATCTTGCCAAAAGTTAAGACGTACCTGTGAATGTGGTTGTTGCTTCTAATTATGCTACTACCTTGGATTTGTATGAAATTTTTTAGGCTTATTGGGTCCACAGAGGAAATAATCCATGCTAAATGTCAGCTTCCTTGGTCAATGCTTTTTGATGTACCATGATTTGAATTTGGGTAATTCCATACCAAGTATATACCAATGCCATAAACTTGACCCCTTTCAAAATTGATTAAATTTGGTTGACTCCTAGGGTTTACTGAAAAACTTATCCATGTCAAATTTCAACTCTACTCCAAATACTATTGGGAACATATTAATATATGCATTGTGCCAGATTTTTTTTAAAATAGCAATCCTCCATAGTGGCAAATGTTACATTGACACACATGGGCATCCCAGACACGCACACATGAACATAATGCAATACCTCCAGATGTGAGAACTTTATGTGCACTAACTAGCAATACTTTTTTAGGTGATAATCATTTAAATTGTATTATGTGGAAAAAATTTTACATCTACAGGGATTTTAAGTAGAGCAAATTGACTAGTGATCAACCTTACTTTCAAGAGACATGAAGTTCTAGCACCTCTGATTCAATATGTTTTTTTATCAATAAGTTTTCTCCTCTCAAAAACCAACATTGCTCTATCTAAATGTGTGAAGCTAACAGAAACTTACAGAAGCATGTGATTACTTTTCACTTTTCCCATGCTCATGACTGTAGAAAAATTTAAGTTGCTGGTGGTGAACATTGCAGAGTCTGAGCTCCTATACTCAACCAGGCCTACCTACAAGGAGTGCCCAATAGGTTCTCAGCCTGACCTTGATGCGATGATTTGTCAAAAAACAGTTTCATTATAAATTTATTACATAGTCACCCTTAATAACAATCCACTTTTGCCAGTCTTGAACCACTCTTTCACCAGCCTCTCAAACCACCTTTCAGTTTAGCACTTCATTGCACTGTCATCCTGAAATCCCTTCCCATGCAGATTTTCCTGCAGATGTTGAAACATTTAAAAATCACTGGATGCAAGTCAGGTGGGAAAAGGTGGTTGCAACAATTGTTTGAAGCCAGCATCATATAGAATGACCTGTGAAACATTGGCTGTGTGAGCTGGTGTATTTTCATTTATAATGAGGACCATTTTTCTCAACTTTCCTCTGCACTTCTTTGTGGATTCATGCAATCTCCTCAATACTGCAGCATAATACTGGTCCATGATTGAACTGCTCGGGGCATATGGTCAATATGAATTATTCCCATTGTGTCCCAGAAAATCGTCACTATGACTTCGCCAGCCAAGGCCTGAGTCTGAAACTTCCTGAATGGCAAAGAGTCATTGTTCCACCACTGCATCTACTGCTTGGATTCTGAGTCCCAGTGGTGAAGCCAGGTTTCATCCCAGTGACTATCCATGAACAAAGCCTGCTGGATCTGAGTTGAACTAGTCAAAATTCCATCAACTCATCATGTGACCCTGTCACCACATTGATGAATGAGTGGAGACTGCTCTCATTGTGCAGGCCCTGCTCTCATTGAAGCATTCTTGAATTCATTAATTGCTGACCTTGATGAGGTATTAGGGTGATGGTCCTCCTTTGGGTTTCTAATTAAGCTCTTGATTAGCTTAGCATTGAGTTCATTTTCAGGTAAACATTAAGTTTTCAGACTCCCTTACAGGAAATAATCTGGTTATAGGAGGCCTTGAACATTATTACACATGGGTTGGACTTATATTCTGATGAGATTGAACTATCATCTACCACCCACTTCCAAAATGATTCGGGCAGGCTGATTTTCTCTGTCAACTCTTTTTTATTTTTCATTTCACAAATAACTGGACAGTTGTAATCAAAGACCCTCGATATGGTCGGCAACTTTGATATGTCGGCTAACTGTAGACCAAAGCAAATCGCGATATTACAAACAGATAAAAAGTTATTAACTCTTAAAATAAGGTCACATGTTCCAAAATAGTTCGGGCACAACATCACGTTCCAAAATGGTTTGGGCATCGGCACTAATACTTCACGACTTCACCTCTTGATGTGACAAGGGCTTCCAATCAGTCAGGCATACTGGAGACGAGATGGGTGCATTGGTCTGAAGTGATGGTGCCCCAAAATTCCTGCAGGGTTGCCCTTAATCCCTCTTTGGTTCTCAGTCATTGCTTTCTGATGCCAGACTTCAAAATTTCCCAGATAATTTTGATCAGTTACATATCTGGACTGCTGACAGGCCATGGTAGCACCTCCATCTATTGATTTTCAAACCACTGGACAGATGTTGGCTGGGACGTTTTTATTTTCTCTGACAGAGGTTTTTCATGGGCATCTAGATGATTTGCTGTGTCCACTTGACGGGTTTTTTTTTTGCAATGAATGATGATATTGTGCTCTGTACTTTTGCTCAAAGCCACCTGTATGACGATGGTCCGTTTAGGTTAGCCAAAATAAATCCCTCCATAAGCATGTCTAGTCAAAGAGGAGACATGCAACTCCTCTAGAATTGGGCCTGGAGTGGAATTCAGCCAATGAGAATTGACTGAATCCTTGTTGCCACTGCCTGAAGATGGGCTGCTCATTGTACAGGGCAAAAGTGGTCACTGTTAAGTCAAACCTGAAGAAGAAGTGATTCGAATGGGCTGAAGAGTTCAAGAAATGGCCATTGACAGTTTGCAATCAGGTGGTATGGAGCGACAATTCCAGGCTCATCATCTGCCTTGGGAATCACCATAAGAAAGTTCCCTTATGGAAGATGGGGCTTTTCATCCCAGTGGTTTCATTCCTTGATAGCTTGATAGTGTAGTGATGCACGAGCAAAAAAGGGGTCGGTCAGCTGCTGTTCATCGATGGGACAGTTGACAGCAAGAATTGCAGCAAAATCTCGGAGAATGCCATGATTCCATTGAAGGAAGAACTACACCCTGATGTCATACCAGCAGGACAACTCACCAATGGTTCGAAAATCAACAGATGGAGGTGCTACCATGGTCTGTCAGCAGTCCAGATATGTAACTGATCGAAATTATCTGGGTAATTTTGAAGTCTGGCATCAGAAAGCAATGACTGAGAACCAAAGAGGGATTAAGTCAACCCTGCAGGAATTTTGGGGCACCATCACTTCAGACCAATGCACCCATCTCGTCTCCAGTATGCCTGACTGATTGGAAGCCCTAGTCACATCAAGAGGTGAAGTCATGAAGTATTAGTGCTGATGCCCAAACTATTTTGGAACATGTGACCTTATTTTGAGAGTTAATAACTTTATATCTGTTTGTAATATCGTGATTTGCATTGGTCTACAGTTAGCCAACATGTCAAAGTTGTCAACCATATTGAGGTTCTTTGATTACAACTGTCCAGTTATTTGTGAAATGAAAAATAAAAAAGAGTTGACAGAGAAAATCAGCCTGCCCTTATCATTTTGGAAGTGGGTCGTACATCTGGTACCAAACTTCTAATGATCAGGATGGAATTGAGATAAGATTCACATTCTTGAGAAGAGCTGATATAAGTTAATTCTTTCAATTTTTTAGTTCCTTTTCCTCATGATATCAATTATTGAGAAATTTTGTATTGCTTCCTTAACCCTCATCCGGGCAAGCTTTTTTACAACCTATTCCAGGCAAGGTGAGTCTGTCAGACTCACATGTAAAATAAGGCCGTTTGCTGCAGTTACGGTATGTATTTCTTTGTAAATTTCTTTGTATTTTTGAAGAGCATGAACAAGGTGACAAAGTCACGAAAGCTCATTTTTCTACTAAAAAAATCATGACAGTAATAGACCGAAATATGTTGTAGTGAGTCCAGTGGACTCACTTTGCCCAGATTAGGGTTAATTACAGTTCTAGATCCAAAGTTTACATGGTATTGCCCTCTGTACTTATTCTAAATCTAAGTTCAGATGGATGCGTTAGTCCCCTCCCAAAATTACATCATTGTTTTCAAAGGAGTAAGATATTATTTTTGTAACTTGCATACTGATCCATGTTGGAACTGCAAATGCAATGGAATCTTGGTTTTTACCATTAATAGTCTATCAACAACCAACTGGCATCTTCACCATTATATGTCTTTAAAATATCTACTTTCAATCAATTTTTGAAGAGGATTTCTACTCCGTCATTGTCATTTTTTCCATGCCTCATGAAGATTTCACCTCCCCATTCTCCCTCCTGGACTGAGTTACTATGTGCTTCTTGTAGGACAACTGAATGCTGTAGCCTCTGAAGCCAGTAAATTATATTCCCTCTCTCTTTTTGCCCATCCATACCCTGACTGGAGTCCCCCATCATTGAGGGACATATAAGAAATCACATTGAGTCCATAACCAATTTAAAGGAAATGCTAGAAATGTATTAGCTCTTTTAAACTTTTCTCTTCTCTGCACATCCCTGTGCATAATTTTTTTAATGCACCATGGTCTGCTGTGCTTGCTAATCATAATAATTTCTCTTTCTTATCTTTTACGAGGGTCGCTCGGAAAGTAATGCACATTAATTTTTTTCTCACACTGTATTGAAGATAATTACATGAAATTAACAAGTAATGTCCATCAGGGTTTTTTGATGAAAAACCACCTATTTTTCGACATAGTCACCATTATGGGTAATGCACTTTTCCAAACGTTTTACAAGGGCATGAATTCCATCCCAATAGAAGCTCTCTCCCAGGTGACGAAGTCACCTTCAAACTGCATTCTTCACGTCCTCATCATTTGGAAAGTAATGTCCTCTGTGGTCGTCATTCATGGGTCTGAAGAGGTTGTAGTCGGACAGTGCCAGGTCCGAAACATCAATTGGCATAGCACCCAAGTGATGATACACTTATCATTCAACCACTTTCTTGATGCTCTTGCCAGTGATGGGTCGTCCTGATTGCACCTTGTCTTTAACCCTCGTCTCTCCAGATGTGAGGCAACTCACCCATCGTCTGATAATACTGTCATCAACGCAGGCGTCACCATACCGCAGGATTTACACCCTCCCAACTGGGGAATTCAATTACTGCTCTCTGCTTTTCACCCACCTGAAGTGTGGCGACCATTTTGAACATGTCTCCCAGCAGATATTTGTCAAACTTGCAAGTTTTTGGTGGGAAAGTTCATGATTTATGCAGAAAATCTTAAATCGGACATAGCATGCATACTTTTCATTTAAAAAATTATTATGCATTACTTTCCGAGTGACCCTCGTAATTTATAAATTTGGAACTGGAATGAAGTAGAGAGTAATAATTTCCTTTGTCATTACCATTATTTTTATTTATCACATGTGTCCTCTTCACTCAACTCCCTGATGTCATTTCTTCTGTTTATGTCGTAGGAGAATGGCAGAGAGAATACATCAAGAGATGTCATATATGAGAAAGAGAAAGTTACATCTGCAGCCAAAGGCACCAAGAAGGGTGTTCAGGAATACCCATGCAGCAAGTGTGATATAGTATTCTTTCAAAAATCCCTGTTGCTCAAGCATCAGAAAACAGTACATGGAAGTTCCACTGAGGAAACTCAAAACCAAGACTCAGGAATCACATGTCACCTTTGTGGTCGATTCTTTGTGCACAAGAACACATACCACTATCATATGAGACGACACAAGGGAGTGCGAAATCATGAATGCAAAACGTGTCACAAGAGGTTCTTCACATCAGGTGCACTGACAGTTCATGAGAGGGTCCATACAGGACAGAAACCCTTTGTGTGCAATCACTGTGGAAAATCCTTCAGGCAATGGGGAGATTTGAGGTATCATACCCAGTCTCTTCATTCTGTGATCAGGGAATATCAGTGCGAGTACTGTGGAAAATTCTTTGCTCGAAAATACAGGTAAGCCTTGAGTATGCACATGAAGGGAAGGAGGGGATTTGTGCATTTCTTTTCATTTCACCTTTGTCTGACAACTACTCTCCAGAAGTCTGGCTTACCTCAGACAATAGTTGAGACACACATTTGAGTTGTAGGTATGTCTTTGTCTTCCATTGGTTTCCTCCCATGCTATTATGATTTGATTGCAAACTTTTGCTTGGGAATAGGTGTCTATAGTCTACCATAACCAGTCTTCTCTTCTAGACCAGGTTTGAAGTCAATTGAACTAGAAATAATATTTTCACCATATTTGCCAGATGAGATGAAATTCATAGGGTGTCTGTGGAGCAAACAGACTCAAACATAGCTAGAAGAATTAGACATTGATAGGGGGGAGGGGTCTGGGTCTGTAGGTGCTGCAACTATTGCTATAAGTTAGTTGGATGCATTAGCTGAGGTTTACTGAGGCATTGAACCTAAGTTCATTCACAATATGCAAGTTTTGTTCTTTCTACATAGCTTGGTGGTTCATCGGCGAATTCACACAGATGAACGAAACTACAAGTGTGAGGTTTGTGGGCGTGGATTCCGTGCATCCAGCTACTTGCAAAACCACAGAAGAATTCACACAGGGGAGAAGCCTTATGAGTGCCCAATCTGTAAGAAGTGCTTCCGGATCCGCTCTGATATGAAACGCCACATTGCCACCCACATAGGTGACATGAGGACAGGTGATAGCAAAGTCCATGATTCAATTTTTGAAATGACTCAAAAGAAGCAAGAACAGTTTGAAGTAGTTGAGGAAGGTATGAACAAGGGCAATGTTTTCTGCTTATCTTCAGCATTGAATTGTGATGGAAAAGTTTATATCCTATTTTATGGTCATAATTTCCATGTCAGGTGATCACTTCTTGGTTCATGGAGCAGAAACTGGGGATAATCTTGAAATGCCAACCCGAGTCTCTTCACCTGAGGCAGAATCAGGAATATCCAAAGAAGCCCACTTCCACCCTTTCAATGCCATGGATGACAGTGCTATTCCTGATCAGGGTCTCCACAATTATGTGATTCCTGACCGCTCATTCCAGCACTATATGACATCTGAGAATCTTGAGGATGGAGTTCGGGAAGTCCTCCAGCCACCAGGAATCCTTACTCCACTGAACATTCCCCCATTGAATTTGAACATCACCAGCTCTTCTTTGACTCCTGGGTCTCAATCCAAGGACCAAACATATATAACTTGGGCTTCAGGATCTCAAGTCAGCATCTTCTCTGCCACAAGCTCTCACAGCCTCAACTTAGAGCACCCTGGGAATCCTGGTTCAGTCATGCATCATCAAAACCCCTGATCCTCAATAAATGAGAATATTGTGATATGAAACTGAGGTCCGTTTTCATTTGTTTAATTGCTAATGCATTTTCTCCTGGTGACATAGTAGGATGGCATATTCTTGTCTGAATAATCAGAAATAATCCAGGATTTTTCTCTGCATGCGATGCTGTAGCATCGTAAACTCTGCCTCTTCTTGCTGTGAGAACTTTGGAATGATGATCTCAAACTAAGGGTTTTCATTTTTATTGCTAATGCTTCCTTGGAGGATTAGCATGTGATTTTCTATTATTATAAGCGCTTTCAGTTCCAGTTACCATCCCAGACAGAGAACAAACGTCTTCTTTAGTAGCACACGTTAATTTTCAAACATCTTAATCCGTTCATCATGCTGCGGTATAAAAGTAGATGCAATTGCAATATGTCCTCATTACATCTCATTGGGAACCTAGTATTCCTTCATACACAATATGTGAGAACACATGTGAATTCTTTAATTCGTTTCTCTAAAATGATAATGCAATACAGAGACTCCGGGTGATTCTGACCCAGGAAATGGAGGGTGCATGGTTCAAATAGGGACTTCACTCGATTGGCTCCCATCTGCTGCGCTGACAGAGAACGAAGTTAAGGTGTCGTGAGGCCATGCCTAGCTCATCTGATTTGGGAGAGGATTAGTCATGCTTGGGTAGCAATGTTTCACCTAATAGATTCCTCCTCTCTTAAAAGACAGGAAAAACATTCGTAAGTACACATGGAGCAATGTGGTAATACCTGCAATATACTAATACAAGCCAAGGTTCCTTATCTCAATCGAAGTAGTCATGCTCTTTTTTTCTCGATGCAACAGTTAATCTTTGCTTATGAGGATGTATCCTTCACGTAAGAAAGAATACTTCTTTCTATGAACTTCAATATCCAGCATAAAAAAACGAAGACATCGGAATTTGACATTAGCAGGCTTTCAAGACGTCTTGTGATATCTTGAAGCTGCGTTGTCCTTTTTGCAGACAATTTCAAGGACGTTATGGCCGCTCTGTAAATTCAGTCAAACATCGTGAACAATGGTCCTCAAGTAGGATATTATGTAATGAGTTCCACAAGTCTCACACTCGCACTTGATCCGTAAGTCCTTAGACATTTAATTTCTCTTTTTAGGGGGTGGCCGACTTTCAATCGTCGAATCTCACAGTGTTCACCTGCTCCTTGTGCAGTTCGTGGAGGAAGAGGGAGATGTTGGCTTTTGCCAATTAATATTCAAAATGATTCGTTTCATGAGGTTGCACATCGAGGGCACGATCCCTTATATCCCATCGAGCAGAAGGGAAGAGTGGACTTGTTCTTGGACGCCCTCGCAATCGCCTTCTGTCAATAATATTTACAGAAGAACGTGATTATTGGCATCGCTTCTGCTGGCATGACTCTCGAAATAGGTAACATCTTGTGCTGGTAAGAAAGAAAAGGCTGAAATCATTCGGACACTGATGAAGTCTTGACTTCGCATTCACCTATCCATCTGGGTTTTCGGCATTTTCGACATTTCTTATCAGAGATAAGGTTACACGTCGGTGTATTCAACGTTCGGCGAACTGAGGGATTCAGCATTCCACATTTTTATCCATCGTTGTTTCGCGCATTCGCTGTATTCGGCTGTCTACATTTTTGCTTTCGGCGTTTCGCTATAGACCTGAGGACCTACGAATGCACTTCATGCGGTAAAATTACACCATAGAAATCTCCAGCATGTACAGTGTTATGCCTGAGCATATTTTTAATTATGGGATTAATGCATGAAATATTCATTCCAATGCTGCAACAACTGACAAAGGGAGTTCTCCCAAAACGTTATGATTTTAGCCCCTAAACCGAATTCCTTGAAATACAGGGTGTCTCAGAAAGATTTATACGCACTTACAGGGCGTTTCAAAAGTTACTTCCACTGTTCAGACGACTGCACTCAGGAAACCGATGGACACAACGTTGTGAAACTTAGTATGTAGACCAATTTGACCATGCGGAAGAAAACGTATTCAGTTTCGTGGTGGCCTGTTATGACATCGTGGTCGCGCATGGTACCTTAGGAATAGGATGCGTAAGTTGAATGCATATTCGAACAGTTTTCAACATGTAACTACAATGCTGAGCTCGAAGCAGAGAATTGAGCTCATTGGGCTCTGGTATGAAAATTCCAGGAATAACGAAGCAGCTTTACGTGCTTACCGACGGCAACACAGCACGAGGCGAGGGCCACGCTCGGCGAGAGCACTTCGGAACCTCACGGCCGAATTCTTACGGACCGGCAGTGTAGCCGATGCCCCGAGGAGTGATCACCCATCGGCACCGGTGGAAGTCGTCGCTGAGGTCCTCCAGGTGACAAAGGAAATGGCCGAGACCGATCGGTTTGGAACCTCCAGTAGTGGCAAAGTTTCACGGAAAACGGGAATCCCTAAAACCACGGTTTGGCGAACGTTGCGACTGCAAGATCGTCTGACCCCACCCCAGCAGGTTTCTGGCTTTGGGGTGACCTCAAGAGCCTTGTTAACCGCAATGGCCTCACCACACGCCACGAGTCGAAGGAGAGCATACGCAGGAAGTCCGCTCCATCCCCCTGATATATTTCGAGCAGCAGTTTGGAACGTGTCGTCACGATTGTAGATTATGACCGTCACAAAAGGAAAGCACATCGTACAAGGTTCACCCATAAATAATTTCACTTCGCAAAAAAAATGGCTATTAAGAGGTTCTACCCAATCAAATTTCAGGGATCTATTTTTGGACATTAAGCTATTTATAGGCAGAATTTCAACGATTTCCTGTTTTTAAGTTCAGTTCTGTGCGTCAACCGAAATTGTGTCATTCTGTTATCTGCCACGCAATGGAATGCGACAAAACTGCTATTCGATTCTTGATTGAAACGTGCAGAAGGAATTCTTTTACTGCAATGCAGACTTATGCGTTTATCATCACTGCATGGCCACATGCTGTCACGCTTCGCCTAGTGCAGCAGATTCATTCTGAGTTGAATTCTAGCATCAAGAAAAAGGAAGATGGAAGAGCAGGGCCGGATTAAGGTTATGAGGAGACTAAGACTAATGGGAGAGAAGGGCCTAAGTATGAATTGTATATTGCAAAAAAAAATGGAATGGAGGGCCTAAAGTAGGCCCTAAAAATATGAGGGCCTAAGGCTATAGCTTTATTAGCCCATGGGTTAATCCGGCCCTGTGGAAGAGGACTACCGCGAACGTCACGCACCGAGAACATCACAAAAATCCATGAATGCATCACTGAGGATCCATGTCGCGCATTGGAGTCCATCGAGATGGAAACTGGCATCGGTCCACCGGCGAAAGGTGGCCATCGGTACAGCCCTACTAAAAAAGTTTGCCGTTTGTGGACCAGACCCATTCGGCACAGCAACGTCGTGTCAACATTGAGCAAAGGTTGATTTTTCAACGTGACAATGTTGCCTCGATGTTGAAGCAATGTCGAAATGAGACACAGTTCGACGTTGAAAATACGTCGTGTCGGCATTGAATTGTCAACGTTTGGGCCTTACAGTATCTCCTCCATTTCCCGAGTCTGAACGAGCGCTAATATCGATTAGATGACGGGATCGCGTGTATCTTAGATTGTTGATAGGACTCTGTTACATACCGTCATCCCACGGAGAGATCCCCCCGGATGACCAAGTGAGGACCTCCTTGTTGGGATGGTAATACTCTATTGAATACTAACATGCCGGAGGAGTTCCGCTATTTCCTTTATTAGATCAGAATTCGGTTCGAGTACTCGAGAGACACTTTCTGTCCAGCAGAGGTATTACACATCTAGCATCATCCCCAGGATTAGTATAGGAGTCAAACACATCCTCACAAATAAATTTTCATACTTTTTCATAATTTTTACTTTGTTCCTCTTGACAGAGATATTAGGTTGTTCCGAAATAAATGTCCGATTTTCGAAGTGTAATGTTTTGTCTATCATTATACCTGTCAATTTTGCGATAACCAGTTATTGTTATATACCGTTTTTTTCAGCAAACCTTTCTCTATGTAAGCCACTTAGTTGCTTTTTATTTATCTTTAGCCTAACGTTCCTGTAGCTGCCAAAGCGAACGATGGAGAAACGCAACTTTCGTCCGATTTTTCTTTACGAGTTCAAACTTGGAACTAATGCTGCCGAAACGGCGAATAAAATCAACACTGCGTTCGGCCAAGGATCGGTCACGGATCGCACCATTCGACGCTGGTTCGAAAAGTTTCGTAACGGAGATGAGACTCTCGAAGAACAGGAAGGTAGAGGTCGGAAAGAGTCTCTTGACGACGCCGTTCTGAAGACTATGGTGGAACGTGATCCCCATGTAACGGTCCGAGAGCTTGCGGAAGAATTGTCTGTTGGCATCGCAACCGTTTCCCGTCATCTGAACGACATTGGAAAGACGAAGAAGATGGACAAATGGGTTCCGCACGAACTCACCGCGAGTAATCGCACTCGCCGATACGAGATCAGCTCCGCATTGCTTCTACGCAACACAAACGACCCTTTTCTCGACCGTATTGTTACGTGCGACGAAAAGTGGCTCCTGTACGACAATCGTAAACGATCGGCGCAGTGGCTGGACCGAGATGAGCCTCCCAAGCACTTCCCAAAGCCAAGCGCTCACCCGAAGAAGACTATGGTCACTGTATGGTGGACTTCAACAGGAGTGGTGCACTACCACTTTCTGAAACCTGGTGAAACAATCACAGCGGAGAAGTACTGTGACGAACTGGACACGATGCACGAGAAACTTCGCAAACTTCAGCCTGCATTGGTCAACCGAAGGGGGCCGATTCTGCTGCACGACAACGCCCGACCGCATGTCGCACATCTCACCGTACGCAAACTGAATCAGCTGGGCTACGAAACTCTGCCTCATCCACCATACTCCCCAGACATATCACCTACGGATGACCACTTTTTAAAACACCTGGATCACTTCGTCGAGGAGAAACACTTCCATGATCGGACCTCTGCCGA